CATTATTTTTATCTCCATGAAGGCCTGGGCTGGGTCTGTGTTGTTCCCAGCTATGTCTCTATTAAGTGTATGCTCAAAAAATGTTTGTTAAATGTGTTATGAATTAATTGCAAGCCTCACTGAATCAGCTGGGAATAGGTCCAGCTGTGACCTCCCAGAATAACAATGGCTTAACCCGGAAGTTTATTTTCCTGTGTCTTGGTTTGGGTTTGCCCTGAAGCAGACTCTGAGACAAGGATTCAAGTGAAAGTAGTTTGTTTGGGAGATTAAGGGACACCAGAAGGCAGTGGTGTGCGGGAGCTAGCTTATACCGCTTGCAAGAGTCAATAGGTAAATTTTCAGGAATCGTGTGAGCCAAGTGTTGAACATAAGCATTATTGAAAGTTAAATTATATTAATATAAATTTAAAATCAAATGAATTGTATTAAAATGCAGGTAATACTCAAAACTCATCACTTCTTAATTATTTTACTATATTTTACTATTATATCTGTTCTTGAGGTTATGCATATCGATTTTATTTGTACCATAGAAACACTGGCAAACGGTGAGCCACTGAACGCCTTTTCCCAGCTCTGTATTCAGAAGAGTTGGGTTGGTAGCAGGGCCAACTTATCCATTAACATAGGAGGCACAGTGCCCACGGCCCACCATACTTTTAGGGGCTATGAAATGTTTCAAAGAAATTAATTTCTTTTAAAATTAGAAGAAAAAAGAACTTTTAGGTTAGTAGAAATATTTTCATATATGATGTTAATATATCCATCTTTATAACAATATAGCTGTAAACCATAATCTAGATTTATTTATAAACCTACATTTATAAATAAATATGTTATTTTTATTTATAAATATAAAATATAATATATATTTTATGCAGGAAGAGTTCCACAAAAGCAAAAGTGCCTAAGGCCCATGAATAATGATGTAGCTCTGGTTGGTAGCTTGAAATTGGCCACAGTGGGAATGTTTACAACACAAAAACCAGCAAGTGCTACCAATCAGGGCTTGAATTTTTGCGAGCAAATTCTTCCGTAGAGAGCCACATAGTAAATATTTTTGGCTTTGCTGACCATACGGTCGTGTTACAACAACTTGACTCTGTGATTGTAGTACAAACGCAGCTACAAATGACATGTAAACAATGGGCATGGCTGTGGTCCAATAAAATGTAGTTTTCCATAGTTTGCCAAACTCTGGTCTAGATTTAGAGCGATAGAGCAAAATGTCAATATTGCAGATTACACTCAACAGTGTGTCATGGCTATAGCTGTTACATGATGACTAGCACAAAAATGTGACTTTATTAGAAACTCTTACCCTATTCAGCAAAGAAGTTGTTTATATCCTTGACTAAGTCAAGTTCTCATACATGCCTTTTTTATTTCACTTTTGTCTTATGCGTGAATATAAACAGAACTGTCAACCCACATTCATGTTGGAAACTATTATACACTTGGAAAGGGTATGTTGTCAAGCAAGTTCCTACCGTGGGTAACTGAAGCTTAATCCTGTGGGGGAACTCTAGAAAATGATACAAAATACACACCTCGGAGTTATCCCTCCCAGCGGGTGAAGGAGGTAGGGCATTTCTACACCAACTCCCAAAAGTCATTAGTTGTGGACTGCTCCCGGAGGGTATTAATTCCTTGGCTCTTTCAGCCTTCTGGGGACACTGGTAGCTGAGGCTTTTTGCAGTTTTAGACGAAAAGACCTCAGGCACAGTAAGGCACACAATGGCAGCTGAAAGTCCAGCCCACTCTAAAGGATATGAGGAGGGCACTGACAGTGCCCGCTGCACCCTTTGACATAAAAGTGTGGAGAAGGACTGTCCAGGCTGATGTGGTGGCAGTGCCCTAAGATGTCCTCAGGGATCCAGGCTCCATCCAGCTTTGCCATCCTTGGAGTTCATTCATCTTCTTCAGAGTCGAACATGGCAGTTATAGCTCCAGCCTTCACGTGCACATTCTAGGCAGCAAGATAGAGGAAGAGATAAGAAAAATAAATAAGGGACAGAAAGCCTACAGCTCTTGTATTTTAAGAAAGCTCCCTACAAGCTGCTACACTACACTCCCACTTACAATTTATTGATCGGAATTTAATCACAGGGCCACACTTTGCTGTAAGAGGGAGTTGGAAGTGTAGCCTTCATTCTGGGTGGTCGTGTGCCCTTGATAAAAATTTATTTCTCTAGAAGAAAGGGGAGCGTGGATATGGGGGTGACTAGCAGTCATTGCCAATGCCCAGAAGGGAAGGGATGCAAATAGAGTGCAGCTGATATAGCCCATGTCGGAACATACTGCGATGGGGACAGACACATGACAAAATTGAGAGCCCAGGCAGGGAATAGGAGGAATAGGAGGCAGTTTTATTCCCAATCACAGGGGAAAGATGAAACAAATGCTTTACGTAGATTTAAAGTCAAAGTCACAGCTAGAGGCCAGACAGAAGCAGGTCATTAGCTCCTTATAGTGAAACTAAAGTCATGCAGTTTTCCCACAGAACTGGTGGCACAAAATTGATCCGCATGGTTTTTTGTTTGTTCGTTTGTTTAATTAGTAGATAAATTTTTAAGAGCAGTTTTATGTATACAGAAAAATGAGTAGGAAGTACAGAGCTCCTATCTGCCCCTTCATCCCACCCCCAGTTGCCCTGTTATTAACATCTTGCAGGCC